TATCTATCTATCTATCTATCTATCTATCTATCTATCTATCTATCTATCTATCTATCTATCTATCAGGGTTGAACTGTGAAGTTGTTGTTTTTTGCTTGCAGACATTTCATTACCAAACTAGGTAACACCATCAGTACATTAAGGATTTAATAACTCTCTCTACTCAGGGATTGCTCAACCCCATATGAAAGGCTACAGATTTGTCTGCTTTTCTTGAAAGTCCAAAACATCTAATTCATCATAATCTGCTTTCTTTTCCATAAGACAAAGAAAACTGATATGATTAGGTTACATATTTCTTTCACAATAACCCTCTTCCACTGTCCTAGCCTACATTCACAATGAAGTCCTACAAGCAGGGGTGGAATTCTACCAGTTCGCACCTATTCGCTAGAACCGGCTGTTAACATCCTAAGCAGTTCAGAGAACCGGTTGTTAGAAGAAATTACTGGCCTAATCCTGTAAAGAAGGCAGGAAGGAAACATTCTGGTGTTGCTTACAGAAACTGCCTCTCCGTTAACCCTTATTACATTCTTGGCAGGACTAGACTTCCTGTCCCTGGAAGTTCTCTGGAGTTTCCCCCCCCCTCCTTTGCTGGTACTTTGCTTGTGTGGAGTGACTATTCAAAGTTCTAATGGCACTGAAAAAAGTGACTTATGACCATTTTTCACACTTACGACTGTTGCAGCATCCCCACAGTCATGAGAGGCCAGGCGAGGAGATGCGTGCCTCGATGTGAGTGAAATTGAGTTGGCCATGCCCAGCCAATAACATGACCACTAAGCCATGTCCACCCAGTCACATGACCACCAAGTCATGCCCACCACGTAAGCCACGCCCACAGAACCAGTTGTTAAAAATTTGAATCCCACCCCTGCTTACAAGCTTCTAACAGAGTATCTACCTCTCAAATTAAATGATTGTTTTCATGGCACACTGAGTGCCTGAGGGTCTTTGGATCTTAGTTCAGCCTTATTCAGGGGTGGGTTTCTACCAGTTCTGTCTACCTCTGTAGAACCGGTAGCTCTGAAGAGCAGCAGACATAGAACCGGTTCTATGTCTGCTGATGTTTTTGCCCACCTGCCCACCCGGGCTCTTACCTGATCTTTATTTCCTGATTTTTCAACTTCTGCTGCCGAACGAGGCATAGCTGCACTTAAAAAAGCAGGAAAAAAAGTGCTGTTTCAAAGGCTGCTTCTCTGCACACAGTGTGCTAATGACGTGCTAATGATGATTTACAGGTGCACAGCTCACAACGGGCAGAGAAGCTCGTAAATCCTGAACCGGTAGTTAACCCTGTAGTATCCCACCCCTGGCCTTATTTATAAAGCAACCCTTTTGTTCTCCTTACATCTGCAAGATTTAACTTCTCCATTTCCAGGTCCCACCAAAAAAAACCCTAAATAATGACTCTTGATTTATGTCTTCTTGGGTCTTAGTGGAAAGGTAAATAGACTGTCCATTAGGTCTGAAATTATATTCTACAAGTTTCTTGGGACATCCAAGACCTTATCATCACAATACTAGTTAAAGTATGGCAGCCATAAAATGTCACGTCTGTCAAGTTGTATGATTCTAGCCTTACCCACATTAGATTTACTCTGGGTAAATGTCAATGCCAATGAGAGCTGCTGGAAAAGCAGGAATTTTTGCCCTCCTTTGACAAGCACTTAACAATAAATTGTCTGGCTGATGTAATAGCATCAAACTAACGTCTTAGTCTGTGTTTTTATGATGACTTGTGCAAAGAAGTGTAGTTAATTTAACACTGAAGGCAAAGATCCCACCATCCTGTCTATATATCTCCATTGGATATCTCTGATTTCCAACAGAGTTAGCCTTTTGCTAAATCAAGTAACGGAGAAACAAACCATCCAATACACACAGAGATATGCACGCATATATGCCTATGCATAGACCCACATCCAACAGTGTGTTTATTTCTATGTTAGAATGACAAGGGGAAAAACTTCCTTTTCCTTTTAAAATACAGCTGTACATTTCTATTACAATAATCTGGTGGCATGGAGTAAGAATAGCACTTAGACTTATATACCACGTCACAATGCTTTACAGCCCTCTCTAAGCAGTTTACAGAATCAGTATATTTCCCCCAACAATTTGAGTCCCTGTTTTACCAACTTCAGAAGGATGGAAGGATGAATTAAGTGAGAATCAAACTGCTGGGAGTCGGCAGAATTAGCTGCAATACTGCATTCTAACTACTGTGCCACCATGGCTCTTAATCTTCCTAATCAGAATGTTTCTTAATTTTTCCTCAATTTAATATATAACAACCTCCTCCACTTGTCTAACTCATACACCAGTCAACAATGATAATTAAGTGGTTTTCCTAACACCATAAACACATGGAGAGTCATTTCTAATTCTTCTATCTCGCTGAGTTAGTGATGACCCACCCAGAGTTTCACTCCTGAGTCAGTTGCGCCTGCCATCAAACATTTATGATGTTTGAAATATAGAAAGCTCTTTACAAAATGTGTTAATTCATGAGTTCCATTTTGGAAGCAAGCCTACATAATTCGGAACAGAAAGCTGTAAATGAATGTATGCTAAGAAAAGATTGAGAAGCATCCTTAGAAAAAGGAAACAGAGGTGTATTGTCGTATAGTAGCCCAACCTTCTGAAATGCAGGAACTGTTCTAATTGGAGAGATGGCACACTGTATTAGCTGATTAGTTATTTCCTTTGGCACTTAACACAAATTATAATGCAATATGAAAAGCGATAGAATTTGAGCACATTTAAAAGGCTTTAACTTTAACTCTCTGGAATCATTTGTATTACATTTTCCACATAAGAGTTAATTTGATTAGTATTCCCAGTCTCAACATTAACCAAACTCAGTGCACAATAATAACACAATTAAAAAAATAAAAATTGATTCTCTTGCCACCTTGGAAGTGCTATGCTAATTTTAACTCATGCAAGAATGGTAATGCGTTCTCTTTTTAAATTGAACTATACTGTATAACTATCCATTAGATTATTTTAGAGGGGAAACCACAGTCTGGTCTACCATGTCTCATTGCAAAGTCCCTTAATAGACCCATCTCCGAAAGACAATCTCTAATTATTCTGTATGCAAAGCTCACACCAAAGAGCATCATGGCATCTTATTCTGAAATAAGCAACAGTTTTTTCATAAAGCCCTAGATCTATTTATCTGTCTGTCTGACCATGTATGGTATAGCATTGTGAGCGACATGGTATGACAAAAATCATTTGTTCCTATCTTCACTTCATCATGAAAGGCAGTGAAGCAGTGGTGGGATTCAAAAAAAATTTCGACCAGTTCTGGGGGCGTGGCTTGGCTTGGTGGGCATGGCTTGGTGGGCATGGCAGGGGAAGGTTACTGCAAAATCCCCATTCCCTTTCCAACCCACTAACCTGCTTTCCAGCTGTTCTCCTGTGCAGGGCAACCAAAGAAGACCCAGACAATCAGCTGGGACTCAATGGGAGGCAGAGAATAGATGGGGGTGGGGCCAGTCAGAGGTGGCATTTGCCAGTTCTCCAAACAACTCCAAATTTCTGCTACCGGTTCTCCAGAACTGGTCAGAACCTGCTGAATACCATCTCTGAAGTGAAGGACTTAAGATAAGTTTAATCTTTCTTCTGATTTTTTTGTTGGTGATGATGATTGTGGTGATGCAGCGATGAGGTTACCTAGTCTGGTAATGAAACTTCTGCAAGAAAACCACCAAATGAGCATTGTAGTATATGCAATACAATGCATGTACAGATCTGTACATTGGGGAAACAAAACAACCACTTTATAAACGCATGGCACAACATAGGAGAACAAATACATCAGGATTAGATTCAGCAGTCCATCTGCATTTGAAAGGCAGAGAACATTATTTTGAAGACAACAACATCCATATTCTGGACAGAGAAGGCCACTGGTTTGAAAGAGGGGTTAAAGAGGCCATCTATATCAAAACTGAACAGCTGTCTCTCAACTGAGAGGGAGGGATATGACATCATCTATCTCCTGTTTACAACACAGTCCTTTCAACAGTTCCAAGAAGGCTCCCTACCCATTTGCTCTATTCAGGTGTCCTGATGACACAGATAAACCTCCAAGGGGCCTCAATGACTGCCTAAAAGGATGCAAATGTCCAGCTGTCTGCAAGGAGTATAAATCCTTCCATTCCCCACCATCCAGTCAGAACTGAAGAAGCCTCTTGGATAAGGAGTGAAATGTCTTCAAAGAAAAACCAGAAAGTCTAATCGCTTCTTGAAAAAAAGCAACTTTGGGGTAACCATGGCCTGGATGACTGACAATCTCTATAGACATTTCTGTCATAGAAATGAGTATAGTCAGACAGAGGAGAGAGAGGGTAAGAGTTGTGCAATATCTGGTATACAAAGTGGTTGGTTTTTTTTTAAGAGTAGCTTGATAGAAAACATACCTATGTATATCTAAGAAAATATATAAAAATCTGAGCAATAATAATGTGAAATTTTTCTTTGAGGTACTAGACTAAGGCT